AACCCCCTACAGGCTCAATAACGCTGAGGTTGATGTAGGGGAGTGAAGAACTAGCGGGCTTGAGCATCAGATGGGTGATTGTCAAAATTATGATCCTTTTTTGGGTACCCTAAATCCACCCAAATGGAAAAGGATCTACAGTAACAATAGGGGCTCGAGGCCCCTTACTAGCTTGTCGAAGCAATCCCTACGTAATACTCTGAAACACTGTACATCCCCCTAGGGATCCAAATAGCCCAATGTAGGTAATATTTACAGACTTTAGGGCCCAATGTAGGGATTATTTGTTTAAATTGATCCCTACCTAGAAGCCCTAACTAACATAAATTTCCATCAGCTTCAAAATCTGCTCGTGGCAGATGGGATCATCAAAATCTGTGCGCTTTCTGGATTTCTGTTCGTGGGGTTTGCTGTGGGTGTTAAGTGGGATTACTTATTGGTTGATTAGGGTGGCTTCTTAAGATTGATGAGCTGGCACTACATCATCTACCTGGTCAAGATGGTGTGCTGAGAACGCTGCGGCCTGAGCTTTTTCCAGCTGGCGCACGCAAAGCACACTAGAACCTTGGGATCTCCACCTTCCATCGTTGCCTATAAAGCAGCAAGCAAATCTGTATGGTTCTCACGGCTACTGTTGCCGTTGATTGTCTTCTTGAAATGCGAGCGCATTTGCCAATGAAATCTTCATCAGAAAAGCAGCTGTAGCCTTGGCCCATTCAGATCGATGACCAATTAGCCGTGCAACCGAGATTTGAGAATTTCATAATTGATCCGAGTGGCACATCGCATTGAGTACATGGGCATTTGGCAGCTGTAATTCCATCTCTCTCCTTAGCAAGGGGTCATGTACAGCCTTTGGGATGCCCACTTGTTAGGGGTTGCACCTTTAAAATCTTGAAAATGGAATCTGCGTAATACGAGGATCACCAAGTGTTGAGCCATGTGAAGCTTGGGCTTCTGTTTAAACAGTGCCCATTTCTGCTGCCAGCATAGAGAGGCAAGCTCTCCATAACCCTCCTCATCAGGGACTTAGGGTTTAGGGCTTAAGGCTTTTAATGGCAATAAGGTCCGGTTCTTTAAAAAAATGGATACCCTGCATGAAGCCAGGTGGCTGTACTGGCGTACCCCAATTGAACCAGCTGCCGCGCATCATCAGTAGGGATCCAGACCCCATAACTATGCAGCCCGCGAAAGAAATCATCGATGGATTTGAGCATCCATTTCAAGACTTCAAGAAAAGGTCGGGCCCATCTCGCCTTGGTTGCTTTATCACACAGCTGCAAGCAATGGAAGTCTTATCCGTGTTCATGCACGCATGGGGCCCAGGTGCGACCTGCCCAGGGTCCACTGCCATCACATGATCAGAGAGCCATGAAAGCAGTAAAATCGTGTCGAAACCTTTCCCGGTGCCAGAAGGAAAGTCGGACAACCTGATTTGAGCTTAAGATTTTACACTCTATATACCAGTAAGTTTAAGCAGTACACATAACAAACACCAACGAGGCCGGGATTCTTCGTCATTTTGAACTTCTTCATGCTGAGGCCGGTCAAGCTGGGGTATTTTCGGTTGTCAGCACACCATTGCTTGAAGGTCATGTAGAGATCGTCCAAGCGGGCATTTACGGAGCGCCCTCTTGCAAGTCCAAGATGGCATAGCAGAATACAACTTGAAGAAGCCATCGTTGATCCATAGCCTTGGATGGCATATGTGTGGGCGGGATCAATTCGAATCCTCAGCCAGCTGTCTCCAGCAGGAATGCTTCGTAGAGGGCTGTATTGGCCCTGCTTCCACGGATGTGGCACAAGGGTATGTGGGGTCCAGCCAACACGGAGCCACGAACTCTCGGAGCAATTGTACCAATCCTGCAGAAATGGCCACTATGACCACGCGCCCTCCACTAGCTCAGAAACCACCCAATATAAAGAAGCCCTGAACCATTAGAATTCCACCCAAGCGCCAAAACCTATGTGACTTCAAGGCAACATATCCCTGAACCCCAAAGCTTGAATTCCCATAACCATTCCCCATAGGAGCAGGTCCTCTTGGTTGCACAGGTGGCAAACCCTTTTTGAGCTCCACCCTGGAGCCAGCGCATAAGCCTTCCGTAGCCAAACCCAATCTCCTTTGCCGCCCACGTGTGCGAAATGCAGCCTGTAGCTCTTGCCATCATACTGGACCTGAACATGTGTCAGATCCATTCATTAAATTAATTCCGCCCTAGCCTGTACTACATAACAGCTAGATTCCCAAAATAAAGTAAATACTCTAGCAGATCGAGATTCTTCCAGGCCTTGTTCAAATAGCGCTTTACAATCAGATGCAAGGGCATCCAATAGGCCAAAAATGCTCTGATCCTTCTTGGCATAGCACTGAGAGGGAAAAACCGTAAACAAGAGCCGACTGCAGAAGGAATGCCTCACATTGTCAAAGGACCCCAAGAAATAAGGTTGTGCTACATCCACCTCTATATGGTATGTAGGATCAGCCACGATTAATGCAGCAAAGAGACCCCGAGGAATTGAGTCTATGAACACCAAAATGCGATAGCACACATTGAAAGGATATCGTCAACAACGGTTGTTTGTTGCGGCCGCGGCCCTCGTCGCCGTGCACAAAGAATGGGATCACATGGCCGGGCTCCAAGGTACTGTTGTAGATGGGGTGGGTTGGGTCACTGGCTCGGTATTTCTGCCAGAAATCGGCCAATGTAGATGTCCAACCACGCGCATTTCCAATATTGTGCCCAGCCAATAACATGTAACCACCATTGCTGAGTTCCTGTCGGGCCCAAGAAGATAAATGCAGGATAGGCCACGCAGCCATTGTCTCGCGTCTAGTGCGATGATGTTTGATCGGGAGGTCAACGTAGGACATTTGAACAGGAAGGCAGAAGGTTGCATTCTTCAGCATGCGGTGAACATTTCGACAAATGTTGCCATTGGAAGCTTTCCCCTGGCCACATCGGGCCAAGCGTTCCAGGAGTGGATCCCGCTCACCTGTGGGTACTGTTTGATAGTTATGGCAGTATGGGTCCTTCTGTAGGTTTTTTTACAGCCTGGGGCCTCTCCGTCGAAGCTTCTTGCATGCTTTCTTTGCTAGCCGCACAGTCCGAGCGCAGGAGTCTGCCTAGTGCATGGTTTGGGGTCAACATTAATTATGCTTAGATAGGATTACTATAGATCGAGTCGAATGGGTGCAACACATATGCGTTTCCTGATCCTATAACATTTTTGGGGGGGCGTTAAGGCTCGAAAGTCACTTGAACAAGCCCATATTGAAGCCAAGCCACACCAAGAGTAAGCCCACGCAGCAATTCTTCAACCAAATCATCATCGGAGGAAGATGCCTCTGACGGTGGGCGACCTTCGATCAGAGGACACACGGGAAAGGGTTTGTGGGAGGTACCCTAGCTTCACAACCTAATTGTAGCCAAAGGTCCATAGGCCCATTCCTCATCAAAACCTGCGTTGGGGTTCAAGCCATGGGGGAAGCAGAACTTAAGCTTATCGTGCGCGCGCTGCATGCAGAGTTCAGTACTTCATTTTTGACCACTGCGTCTTCCCCATAGGCACAGCTAGGCTTCGCATCTTCATCTGCAAGTTTGGCACACTAGAGCGCCCAAAAGTTCAGGCCGAGTGGAAGCACTCTAACCTTTGTTCATGGAAAGGCTCACGAAAGGCCCACTCCATCACACGCATTTCAGCTAGATCATGATTTTAAGGCGTCATAGCCGGAGCACCTACATCATCAGCACCTTTCCAGCCCTTGGAGGCATCACAAGTCAATTAAAGGTGGTGCACTGCATGGCGCACCCAAAATCATGAGTCCGTGCGCTAAAACACGGTACCTTCGGAAATGCCGCGGAAGGCTCTGCAGCACAGATCTGGAAATCTGCTTTCAGCTCTCACGGGCCCCTCTTTTCGAAGGGGTTGCTGCTACCGGCTCTTCTCCTTTTGGGCGCCCTGTTGACTTTGTTTTTCCTGCCTTACTTTTAGCCTTAGCCTTCGCCTTCGCCTTTGCTTTCACACTCGCCTTGGGCTTCCCCTTGGGAACTGCCTCCAAAGCTCGTCCTCCAGGGGAAGCCTTCACAGACCTTAGGGGGAGCAGGCGCTAACATATGTAAACGATTATGCGCCTCAAATTTCTGCGCCTTTGTCACGGGCCTTTCATATTTTTCATGGACAAGTGGCTTTGCTCGCATCACATAATTGTTGAGGGCCAAATCCTCCTTTGTGGCTTCGACATACTTTGCCATGATAGCACGATCAATCCTGTCAGGTATACATGGAAGCATTTTAATGGATCGAAGGCAAAAACAGTTGTACTGACACAAGTCCTGTCACGCTGCTCCTGTGGGGCGGTGGCTGCTTCTGACTGCAGCTTGACAAGATCATCGTAGCATTGGCTCAGGGCACCAAGGGATATCTTCAGGGATTTGCAAATCCTGAGCATTGATAAAGGGATTTGCTCCGCAACTACACAGCGCATTTCCAGAGCACAACCACGCCAAGTGACTGCTCCGCTTTTGAGCTCTTGGCAGCTTGGCATTTCTCCTAGCAAGCGCGCGTAGGTATTAACAGGCTCTAGACCCTCTAGGCTTTGTGTAACAAGTTAGGCAGAGTCCTTCACGAGATCCCCCTGATCTAGCTTCTTTCCAAGCACAGCCAGAAAGTGTGGCAAGATTGAAGCCGGTGCCACGTTCTGCTGAAGGGCTGGAAAACAGATCCGAGGTTTGCGATGAAATTCATGCTAAGTCACACGTGATCAAGGCAGCTTGCTTGACTTATACATGCTGCAAAGCCCAGTAGCTTGAAAGATGCCCCTGCCTGAGCGGCCTCCGCAGGAGCTGAGCTCGGGTCCCCTGCCAAATCAGCGGACGCAGAGTGCGGCAGCACGGGAAGCCTCCTCAATCCCATCACCCAGCAGAGCTCCATCAGGATCCTTACGCATAGCAACATGTGTCGGTTAGTGGAGTTAAGCTTCAAATTGTTGATTGCAGTTAGCATGGTGCCTCCATTTCAGCCTTGCCCGCAAATTCAGTGCGGCGACCACTTTCTTTCATAGAGCTCCATTTTTCACGGAGTGGGATATCCGCTTCTTCAGTACCGTGTACCTTGTTTTTTCGCAGCTTGCCATGCTGCCGAGCCCATTCGAAGGCATCGTCTGCCATCTGCCTGAAAACGCAGTCACGTAGCACAGCTGCACAATTTGACCCTCGATCTAGAACTGACCCATTTATATTGACATGAAGAGAGCTGAGGCACTGTGTGTAGGATTCATTGTCCATCAACCACTGCTTGGTAACATATCCGCCTTCTGCCTCTTCCTTGCTGCGCTTCTCGTGCCACTGCTTGACAGCTACCTCCAGCTTCTCAAAGGAACCCTGCTCTAGCAACATTTTTCGCAGGCGCTCTCCTTGGTTCAGCATTATAAAGAGTTTAAAGTTTATAGGGTTGAGGATTTTGGGTTTAGGGCTAGTATTCAACAAGTTTCTGCCGTCACTGGTACCAGCCATCTCTAGCACTGCCTTGGAGCACTTGACTTGACCAGCACTGTTCGGCGTAACGTAGCGGCGGGCCCTTAGATACACAAGCAACCCACAAACACCATGGACAGGACTGGCTCTGTGGATGAAGAGCCGAGAGAGGTGGATTTAGGGTTTAGGGCTTAGGGTTTATAATGATTTGGGGTTTAGTTCAGCTTTGGGATTAAAGGGGATAGGGTGGGTCGAGGACTTTTCTGATTTCAGGAAGGCCCCATTACCTCATTGCCTTCCCTATACCCTATACACTTGCATGACCCTATATTAACATATGCACTGCGCAGTCGAATCTCCAGGAAGAGAGAGAGAGAGAGAGAGATCGAAATGTTCCCCCAACACTTGCGAACTCATCGCGAGCAGTACTATAGCCTGGCCAGCTGAATACCTGCCATATCCTAGGCCCTTCCAAAGCAACCCTGAACATCCCTGCTCCCCTCTGAACGAATAGGACCTTGGACGCACCTTAACCGCGACAGAGACACAGAGAGAGAGAGGGGAGAGAGAGAGAGAGATTTCACAAAATTAGCCAAATAACCATCCTTTTCATTTATTTTATCCAAAGGGACAGAGATATCTCGAGATTCAAAAAACAATCGCTGCATGTTAAAGCAACTGATGAGAGTGAGAGAGGTAGAGATAATTTCAAGTGAGCAGCCCTCACAAACACTGCGTGTTTAAACCCTCCAGAGCAAAGTGAATCCTAAAGCCCTAAGCCCTAAACCCTAAACCCCAAACCTTAAGGCCTTAAGAGAGAGAGGGAGAGATGCAACACATGTGACATCTGGTCCGCACTGTCTGCCAGAAGCCCTACGCATCCACCACCAACGGCCACCACCATTGCCACCACTTCCCCAACCCCTCCCCCAACCCCTCCCCCAACCCCCCCACAACCCCCCCACAACCCCCCCACAACCCCTCCCCCAACCACGAAAAGTGTGTATCAAGAGCAAAGTGTTATTGATACACACTTTTGCCACCGCCGCCACCACCACCAC